CAAATACCTTAGCACTATCAACCCCAACAGCAGCAATATCCACAGCAGCAACACCTGCACCAACCACATTCGCTACGACCGGGGCGACCTTAGCCCCACCGGCGAATAATGCCACGGAGCGCACAGAGCGCCCCAAGAAAAAGAGGGGAAAGAAGAAGAAGAAGGCGACCACCCAATCTGCTCAACTGGGAGGCACTTCAACTCTTCCTCCTCCACCCATCACCACCAAAGAACAACGACTACCACAGCCACAACCGCGATACACTTTCCCCCCTTCGAACCAAAATGAGCTAACCGCACCCCAACCCCGAGAACCACGCCCACCTAAAAGGACTATAAATGTCACACACCAACCTCAGCCTTAGGCACCAACCACCATCGAGGAGGCCCTCGCTCAACTGGTGGGCGTGGTAATCAGGATCCTAGGAGAGGTCCTGACTGCCATGACCACCGGTACCAACCCCCTTTCGGCCATCCTAACGGCCTTAGCCCAATTAAGTTCAGTCAGCAGGCCATCAACTTAGTATGTGCTACTGGAACCCCGGCGGCATCTTAGGGAAGGTCGCCGAGCTAAGAACTCTGGTCCAGCAACACAATATCCAGATTGTGTTGCTGGGGGAAACCAAACTGCGCCCCTCTGCTCAACTAAAGCTCCCCAACTTCTTCGTGTACCAACACGACGAGATCTCCCCAGAAGGTAGAGGTACGTACGTACCTCTACCGTACGTACGCGTACAGAGGTACTGCGGTCCTTGTGAGGAGGGACGTCATGCACGAAGAAGTTGGCACCAACACACAATTCACATCCACAAGGACTAAGGGAATAAGGCTGAAGGTAGGTACCAAAGAAGCAAGAATCTTTGCCGCCTACAGACCTCCCGGCACCTCGTTTGCCCCCCAGGACATAAGAACCATTTTTGACTCCACAACACCCGCTATAATCGCCGGAGACCTCAACGCGAAACATCCCGCTTGGGGCTCCGCGCTTATAACACCACCTGGCAGGAAACTATTTGACGACGCCGAGGAGTGTGGGTACGACGTGCTGGGCCCAGATGAGCCCACCCATATCCCCACAAAACCCGAATATCAGCCTGATTTTCTAGGCATAGTGCTGTGTCATCTAGTGCCGTATACAACACGGTTGGAAGTGTTGTATGACGTAGATACGCAACACCTCCCCGTGCTGATTACCATCGACACCAGTGCGGATGCCGTAGTGCCCAGAAGCCTCAGAATGAGGTCAAACTGGACACGCTTCCGCAGTGCACTGGAGGACCTTCAATTCTGCGCCTCTATCACCACCCATGAAGATGTGGAGACAGCGGCCCTTCATCTTCATAACACCATTAAAGACCAGTTGCAACTTCATTCCCACCCTGTCTCCACGGGGCGCGGGAAGGAGGAACTCCCACGTAGGCTCCAAACCCAACTATCAGAGAAACGGAAGCTGAGGAGGCTCTGGGCACGGACACGATGCCTACGGCTCAAAACTAAACTCAACGCCATAACGGAAGAGCTGTCGGACGCAATGAGAGAGTACAGGGGAGAAGCATGGGAGAGGCGAATCGACGAATCCTCGGAGACACCCGCCTCCCTGCATCTCCTCAACCGGCAGCTCACAAAGACACCAACATCTGTCTGCCCACTGGTGGACAGCACGGGGAGCAGAATTTACGACGCCCAACTTAGGGCGGAGTTGATGGCACAGCATCTAGAACAGCAGTTCATACCCAATAGCATAGCAGAGGGGCACGCAGACTACGTACAAAGTATAGAGGACCGCGTACAGGAATATCTGTTAAACCCGGCGCCGCCACTGCGGGGCGGCGATTTTATATCACCAGCGGAGGTAAGGCGCACCATCATGCGCCTACCCAGCCGTAAAGCGCCGGGTTATGATGGCATAACCACCACAGCCATAAAGCAGCTGCCCAGAAGGGTAATAGTGGCACTCACCAGGTTGTACAATGGCATCCTGAGAACTGGCCACTTCCCAACCATCTGGAAGCAGGGGAAAATCATCGTGCTGTCGAAGCCGGGAAAAGACAGGAGGTTCCCGGCCAGCTACCGCCCCATAACGCTATTGCCGCACATAGCAAAACTTTTCGAGAAAATTACCCTGAGTAGGGTCCTTCCACATGTCACCCTGCGTGAGGAGCAATTTGGCTTCCGCAGGGGACACTCCACCACTTCACAGCTGGCCCGCGTGCTGCACTATCTTGCGGCTGAATATAACTTCGGCCGCATCTGTGTGGGGGTCCTTCTCGACATGGAGAAGGCCTTCGACAGGGTGTGGCACGCAGGGCTGGTCTACAAACTTATTCATAATACCACCATGCCGCCAATGCTTGTGCGGCTAATAGCGTCGTTCCTGGAAGGGCGGAGCTTCCATGTCACCTTGGAAGGGGCTGTTTCGGCGGCACGACCGATTTCTGCGGGAGTGCCACAGGTCAGCTGCCTATCACCGCACCTGTACGCAGTTTACACCAAAGACGTCCCCACCCTCCAAGGCCATCTGGAGGAATGGGAAGATGACGTTGTTCTAGCTTTGTACGCCGACGATAGTGCGTACTTCGCGTCATCACGTCGGGTGGACATAGCTGCCAAGAAGTTGCATCGGGTACTCGACCTCTTGCCTGAGTGGCTGGACAAATGGAGGCTGGCGGTCAATGTCGGGAAGACCACCGCCTTCATGACCAGGCTGGCCAGATTACCACCAACCCTGCAACTCCGTGGGCAGGATGTGGGTTGGAGTAGTACCATCACATACCTAGGATGCCAGATAGATCGCTCGTTGCGCATGACGCCCATGGTTAATCATGTCGTAAGACAGGCCAGAGTCGCGCGAGCAAAACTCTATCCTATACTGGCATCCAAACTTCCAACTAAGACCAAGATTGGTATCTACAAAACCTACATCCGCTCACGGCTGACCTACGCAGCACCAGCCTGGTACGCGTTGACCTCGGCTACTCAGCGCAGGAGTTTGCAAGCCCAACAAAATCTTGCGCTTCGGGTGATCGTGGGAGCCGGTCGCTACGTCAGAAACGATGTCATCTCTCGCGACCTCAAGGTCGAATCCATCCAAGATTTTGTGGTCCATTCTGCGAGACGGCTGTATGACCGCGCAGACAACGGACCACATCCCCATTTGCAAAACTTAGCTCCGCTCCATGCTCGCCCACCTGACGGGCGACCGCTCCCACGTGAACTTCTACGCTCACCGCCTGGCATAGGGGACGCCGGGGGTGAGTGAACGTCCCGACACCGAACTTGATGGCGCGAGGTGCGCAACACACTAACACGTAAGCTGACAAACGCAGCACCCAGTACCGGGGGGTCGTGTCCTCCTGAGATGCCGCCCATGTAAAGAGGGTCTCCTCGACATATGAAAACCTCCATAAGGAGATGAACCACCACAGTGAACCACCACGTACAAATCGTTCCACGAAGTCCACCACTTACGCGGCCCTAGCCCCATTTGCCAGAGGATCCCCCCCCCCCCCCCCCGCCTACCACCAACCCCTCTGGCCTACCCATGGATAATGGCTAGAGGCCATCTACAAGTTATGCCTAACTGGTAGCTGCCACGCCAGTACCACGACCCAAGTCGCCAGAAGCAACCACCACGCAAACGGACAAGAATAAGTCACGCTATCCGCCGATTGTAACAGAATGCCTCCCGGACTGGACGAAGCATTTCGAAGTACTGAACAGAAAGTTAGGCCATCCGCCGAATGCTCGTCCGTTCGGGAAAGGCGTAAGATTTACGGCCGGTTCACACATGTCTCCGTTTTACTGTTCCGTTTTATCGTGTACGTTTTTTTTTCGTCGATGGCGTATGTAGTTGTATGAGCGACTTCACACATGGCACAGTATTCTTTATACAGTAAAAAATATCGTTCCAAAAAAAATTACATTCCGTTTTGTCATCGAATACTGGATGACGGAACAGTAAAAATATACGGATACGTAGAATTTCAATTTTATTGTGCGTGTCGGACGGTGTGCGCGGGGTGTAGGAGGAGGAGTAATGCAACAGGTTTTGTTTGACTCACATTTTCTATTGTACATTCCTAGAGAACGCGCGCGTGCATTGTGAGTAATAATTATTATAATCACTGATCAACCATGTCAACCAAGGAGTGGGAAAAGTTGATAGACAAGGAAATGTTAGTTTGGTGGAAGATAGGCCAGTCCTTTGGGGCAAGACGCTGGATAAATACAAAGACAATACTGCAAGTATTGCAGGTTGGCGCGAAATATGCATTATTTTAATGCAGGATTTTGAGGCTATGGAACAAAGACAAAGACAAGAGGTCGGTAAGTGTCTGTTTTATTATTTAATGACATTCTAAATAGCTTCATCCTGCTATGGAACTGATCCAGCTTCGAACATGAAATAGTTCACGAATTTTGTTCGAACTAAATTAGCAGTATTACCACCTCGTGTCCTTACTTCATGGGGTAGGTTTTCGTAACTAAATTCTTCAGATACGTTATTATCACTGTTTGAGCCCTCCTTGTCCCTTATAAAGTTGTGTAGAATAGTACATGCCATAAAAGTCCATACAGCTGTTGTTTTATCGATGTCTAGAGGCCGATGGAATATTCTCCACTTATTAGCTAAGATACCGAAGGCACATACAACGTATCTCCTAGCTCTAGTCAAACGATAGTTGAATATTCGCTTATTTTAGTCCAGATGCGTCCCGCCAAACGCCCTTAGTAAATTTTCGTGTAATCCGAAACCTTCGTCTCCAATTACCACATAAGGAACTCGCGTTTCTGAGTCTCTTGTCAATGGGCATGGTGCTTGTATTTGTAGACTGCCGTCTAGCATCGTTTTCCAAAATGTTGTCTCCTTAAATATTTTCCATAAGATCCGACATTGACGTATACAAAGCGATAGTCGGAGTCTACGATCGCTAATAATATGATGAAAAAAAATCCTTGTAATTGATATACAGTGAACCGCTATTTAGTGGTTTTTTAAGTCAGATATGTTTTCTTGCTATCTGTTCCCATTCGTCGACTGATATAGGAAGTCGCATAAATTTTTCACTTAAATTGTTCCATATGCATCTTGAAATTTCTTTAATAATGTTGCTAACAGTCGATACACCAACGCGATACGTGTAATGAAGATCTTTAAATGAACACCCGGATGCTGCATACCTGAAAATAAAATTAAATGTTTTATTACTTGTTTTAGGAAAACTTGTTATGAAAAAGTGGAGACAGATGATAGATGCCTGGGTGAGAACACTAAAAGATAAAAAGAATTGCAAGACATCTGGTTCCGCTGTCTCAAACACGAAGCCCTACAAATACCATAATCCGATGCGGTTTTTGAAAAAAGTAGTTGCTGCTGGTGAAACGCACGAAAGCGTCTCTGCTAAATAAAATAAAGAACACGCCGAAGATGACACCACGACATCGAATGAACCTACAAACGAAGATGACAGTGTGACTACAATGACACAACTTTACAATGACAGTCAAAACGACAAACAAAATCTAGAGGTAAAACGACGATAGTACCAATACAACACAACAACATCCATCATTGTAGAATAGCGGCGGTATACTGCAAGTTTTCTGTTCACACATCGCATCCAGTAAGGACGGATCCGTTGAACGTTATACGGTGCCTATGTGTCAACAAAGAGTATACAAAAATATCTCGTAGAAATATCGGAGGAACAGCCATCAATGTCGTGGTACTGTTACGCCCATGAGGAAGACAAGCCCACCAAAGTGGGCATCCTGGGGCTACCAGTGAGCATGGATGCAACCCAGATAGGCGAGGCCATCAGGGCAAAGGGATTTCCACTCAAATACGTGAAGGAAATCCCTCCTCGTAGAGCCTCTACTTCGCCCAGCTGGACCACCTGAGCCTGGAGTAGTTAAATGAACTATATGCAATAAATGAGTTGCTATATATGAAGGGAATCAGCATTGCAGCCTGGCAGAGAAGAGTTGGCCCAGCACAGTGCCACCGCTGCCAGGCCTTCGGACACGCTTCGACAAACTGCTACAGGCCAGTGAAGTGTGTCCGCTGTGGAGGAAATCACATAGCGAGTCGATGCCCAAGGGGTACACGAAGAGCCGAGATGTGCCAACTGCGGTCAAAACCATACAGCAAACGATCGCCGATGCCCGGTCCTGAGGAGGATCGCAAGGAAACAAGGCATCACCCTACCGGGGCTACAACCGCAAGCCCCTAGGGGCGTCTCTCAGAGTCGCCCCAAAACTGTAGAGATACAGGAAGACGGGTTGGGCAACAATTAGAGGGACTCCACCCCCCGCACCGCAACCACAACAGACAGAGACATATGAAGCCCCAAGTAAAGCAACTACCAGGGCGACTCCGCAGCCACCCGCCAACGACGCTACGGAGAGACAGCCAACAAAAAAGAGGAAGCGGGTGCGCAGCAAGAAGAAGAAGGAGCAACCTCCTCAGGCTACGGCAGCAACCTCTACCCCTACCCCAGCGGTACCGATGGCCCAAGCGCAGTTCACGGAACAGATAACCAACAAGGGTAGAGCTCCAGGAAGGGCTCTATCAGAAAATGGAGCCCGCTCAACACAGAAAGCACGCTCTACCCAAAGGAGAGCGGAAGCACCGACACCGCACCCGAGGCCAGTACCAACATCAACTCAACAAAGAAGACCTACAGCTGCCCCGGACTTGACAGATGCCATCCAGAGATTGGTTGGCATCGCAATAGAAGTGGGCAGCCAAGTCCTGGCGGATGTTAGAGCCGGGACAGTTCCGATAACCGCCATCATGAGGGCACTGGCGCAGCTACTGGCTCAGTACTACGGTGGTGTCGTGTAATCCAGACAACCTGCGCCTCTTATACTGGAACCCAGATGGAATCCAACAGAAGCTACATGAACTCCGCACTATCGCCCAACAATAGGATATACACGTAATACTGTTGGGCGTAACTAAACTACGACCTGCAACGCGCATAAAGCTGCCGAACTACTTCATATACAAGAGAGACGAGGTCAACGCTCAAGGAGCCGCCTACAGAGGCACGGCGGCTCTGGTAAGAAGAGACATCGTCCACCTAGAGCTGGAACCACCTCAATACCAAACTATGCGCTCAATCAGCATAAAAATGGAGGCGGCGGGCGAGGATCTAAGGATCTACGCAGCATACCGCCCGCCAGGGACTCCATTTTGCTCTTCAGACATCCGGACAATAATGGAAGGTGAAACACCTACCATTATAGCAGGGGACCTAAACGCTAAACACCCGGCATGGGGATCTAGAATGATCACGCCGCCGGGTCGTGCACTCTACGACGATGTGGAGATTAACAGCTATGACGTATTAGGTCCCGAAGAGCCGACGCACATTCCAGCCGATCACCGGAGGAGTCCGGATGTGCTGGACATAGTGCTTACTAAGAACATCAACTGCCCGATAGTGGTAGAGGTGCTGTATGACGTGAACACACAGCACCTCCCGCTATTAATCACCCTAGGCCTCAGGGCAGTGACGTCGCCTCCCAGTGCTTTTAAGACCAAGATCAACTGGAGGCTCTACCAACAACATCTACTGGAGAGACCTCCAGTAACTGCACTGATCAACACAGCAGACGACGTTGAGGCCGCTGCAACCAGAATATCCAAAACGATCACAGCAGCCCTAAACGCGGCCTCTACGATCGTACCTCTTACAAGAAAACGGGAAGAGCTACAACCAAATATATTAGCACAATGGAGGAGAAAAAGAGCATTAAGAAAGCTCTGGGCGCGCACGCGCTGCCCCAGAATTAAGACACAATTAAACCACATAGCGGAAGAACTGTCGGTTGCAATACAGGCCCACAGCGGAGAGGCCTGGGAGCGGCGCATATGGAAAGCAGAGGAAGAAGATGCGTCGCTCTACAAATTGAACCGGCAGCTAACTAAAACAAGATGACCCGTTTGCGCACTAATAAATAGTACTTGAGAGCAATGTTATGAGGCCAAGGGAAGAGCGGATATCCTAGCTGAGCACTTCAAGGAGCAGTTTATGCCGAACCCAGCAAGTACGGAGTTCATGGAGCTTCATGCCCAAAAGGAGAGCCGCGTACAGGAGTTCCTGACGTCGCCTGCGCCACCGCTTGCAGGAGAGTGGTTTTTTCCCTCCGCCGAACTGCAGAGGACAAGGAGGAAAAGGAGGCGCCGGGGCACGACCGGATCACGAACGCTGCACTCCGACAGCTGCCCAACAGAACGATCTTAGAGATAGGTAGACTCTACAATGGCATTCTGCGGACTTTCCACTTCCCAGCAATTTATGATTTAAAGCCTAAAGAGTCGCTGCGACAAAAATGTAAGGAAATTAATATATTAACTTTGGTCTCTCAATACATTTATGAAAATGTAATGTACGTACACAAAAATAAAAGTAGTTTTACTAAATTAAGTGATATTCATTCTGTAAATACTAGGAACAGACACAAGCTAGTAGTACCAGTTACTCGACTCCATCGAGTCAGTAATTCATTCTTGGGGCGATGTATACGCTTTTACAACAAAATACCAGAAAATATAAAAAATTTGACCTCTCTCTTTGCTCAAAGTTCAAAAACTTTATTAAACTAAGTTTGTATAAAAAGGGTTATTATAATATTAATGAATTTATAGATGATAATAACCCCTGGAAATGAGGTGATCGCTACCAAGCTATTTCTAATTTGTTGTGTAGTTAATTTGTGTAACATACATGATTGTAAGCTGTTATTTAAAAAAAAGTCCCGCTGGGTTTCTTGCTGGGTCTTCCCAGGACAGAGGTTTTTTTTTTCGAACCAGTGGTAATTATACAAAAGAGTGACTTTCAATAAGTATTATTTATAATCTATATTGAATAAAAAAGTTTATGTTTCTGTTTCTGTTTCCCGGAGAGCTGGAAAATCGGCAAAATTATTGTCTTGCCAAAACCCGGGAAGGACATACGTAGAGCAGCTAGTAACAGGCCGATAACGCTGCTGCCACACATAGCCAAATTATTTGAGCGCATCGTATTAAGAAGAGTCCGCCCGTGCATACAACTTCAGCTGACCAGAAAGCTGCACCTGCTTTCGGCCGAGCACAACTTTGACAGAACTTCAGTGGGCGTCTTCTTGGACATCTAGAAGGCGTTCGACAGGGTGTGGCACTCTGGACTACTCTTCCATATGGAAAAACAAACGAGTGTCCCTCCAGCTATACTGCGGCTAATGGCGTCGTTTCTAGCCGACCGGAGCTTCTACGTCTGTGTCGAGGATGCCGAGTCCGCAGTCAAGCCTATAAGAGCCGGCGTACCACATGGCAGCTGTCTGTCGCCGATCCTGTACCCGGCATACACAAATGACATACCAACACTCGCTGGACATGTCGTCCTCCCATTCTTGCAGAATGGGAGGACGACGTAGAGTTGGCGCTATACGCGGACAATAGTGCCTACTTTACTTCATCCAGAGGAACCCATATCGCTATTGCCAAGATGCAGCGCCTGCTGGACCTGCTGCCACCATGGATGGATGAGTGGAGGATGGCCGTGAACGTGGGGAAGACGGCCGCTCTACTCTCCCGCCGACACAGGAAACCACCACCACCATTGAAGCTAAGAGACCAAGAGATCGCGAATCAGAAGGCCGTAACCTACCTTGGGTGCCGGATCGACAGGATGTTTCGCATGACCGCGCACGTGAACATCGTCATCCGCAATGCCAGATGTGCGCGGTCGATGCTCCGTGCAGTCCTGGCATCCAAGTTGCCTAGAAAAATCAAGATAAATATTTACAAACTGTACATAAGAGCGAAACTGACATACGCCGCTCCGGCCTGGCACGCGCTCTTGAGCAACAGACAAAGGCAGCGGCTGCAGGCCCAGCAGAATCTAACACTACGGACCATTGTCGGTGCAGGTTTGGAATCTAACACTACGGACCATTGTCGGTGCACGTCTGGAATGACGTAATAGCGGCCAACCTTAAAATGGAGACAATTGAAGAGTTTGTGGTCCGCCTGACGCGCGGTATGTTCGACCGCGCTGACAACAGGCCACACCCACACCTAACCAACTTCACGCCGCTACACACCCGCCCCCCGGACGGGCGACCTCTGCCAAGAGAACTCCTCTCTATAGAGATTAGAGAGTCGAGTAAAACCCTCAATGCCACAGATAGGCTAACTTAGACGCCTAGGTCGAATTAGTCGCCTATAGGACGACTTACCCGACCAGGCCATATTAGACTACTATAGGCCAAATTAGGCGCCTTTTTCAGGCCATAGGCCAAATTTGGCGCCTTTTTCAGGTCAAGGCTATATTAGACTCCTGAAATTTCAGAAAACCTACAATGCCGAAATTTATCGGCTCCCAAGACTGGCCCATGAACGTGAGGAATATCCGGGTAATGGGGGAGATGCCCCGAGACCCGAGACCTGTTGGGTGTTCACACACACCGCAGCTGACGACAAGGATACCGATACAAATCGTTAACGATCTCCTAAGTGTGCGTTGTTTGTGGATTAGCAGTGGTCCCAAGCAGCCGCCGCGCCGGTATGACATATTCCGCCGATCGTTGAGTCCGCATACTCCGTGAGGCGTCGAGGTCACCGGCCCTTAGGTAGATTCTTGGCACTTAGAGCATTCTCGGCTTTTCAAGTGTCCAGTCGCGGTTTTAAGGGCCACCTCTAGCACTTTCGCCAACCCTTTTAAAAGGAAAGGGGTAGGGTAGGAAGAGGGAGCGTACCCCTCCGAAGTCACCATCGCCACTCCAATTAGTCACTTACATATCGCCGGACCGACGGAGCCAGATGGACTCGGCCCACGAACAGCAGGGAGGCGAAGAGTCCTAGAGCTGGGGGTCTACTACGTATGCGACCCTAGCTGCATCCGCCGGAGGCTCATTGCCCTTGCCCCATCCCAACCCGTCGGGATTGCCGCAAGGTGATGGGCAGAGGCCACCAACTGCTACGCCCAGCTGGCAGCAGCGCCCGCAGTACCAAGGACAAAGGCAGCGGAAGAGCCAACACCGGCTAAAGAAGCCGAGAAGGCAAGATACCCGCCTATTGTCGTCGAATGCCTCCCGAATCGGACGGGGCATTTTAAGATCCTGAGCGAAAAATTAGGCCACGCCCCCAATGCCCGCCCATTCCGGAAGGGGGTATGATTTACGCCCCAGAGTCCGGATGAGTTCCGTAACATACAGAGATACATGAAGGAACTCTCTGAGAAAACACCAGACTTGTCCTGGTACTGCTTCACCCCAGAAGAGGCGAAGCCCACAAAAGTGGGCATCAGGAGGCTACCAGCGGGCACGGACACTAAAACCGTAGAGGAGGCTGTTCAGACAAAGGGCTTCCCAATACAATTTGTGAAAGCCATTCCACCGCGTAGAGGCAGACCGGGATGTCTCTACTTCGCCTAGTTGGATCACCTGAGCCTGGAGCAGCTGAATTTACTATACCAAATCGACGGACTCCTCTTTATGAGGGGAGTAGTCATCGAAGCCTGGCAGAAACGGGCAGGACCAGCACAATGCCACCGCTGCCGCTTTCGGGCACGCTTCCGCCAACTGCTTCAGGCCAGTGAAGTGTGTTCGCTGTGCCGGGGAGCACATCGCCGCCCTTTGCCCTCGGGGTAGAGAGGAGGAGCCGACGTGCACTAACTGCGTGCAGAACCACACCGCGAACGACCGTCGCTGTCCAGTCCTTAGGAGGGTCGCAAGATGGCAGAGGATCACTCTGCCCGGACTACTCCCGGAGGACACGAAGAAAAGCAGTGACTATCCAAGAAGACCGGTGGGCCACCGTGAGAGGTAAGGGTAGGCAATCAGCCCCCCCCCCTCACCATCCGTAACACCAACAGAAACGGTGGAACCCACAGAACAGAAGGCAACTACCGGGGCGACTCTCCAGCCCCCCGCAAACGACGCTACAGAACGTCAGCCCTCTAAGAAGAGGAAGCGGGTGAGGCGCAGGAAGAACAAGGAGCAGCCTCTTCCTCCTAAGGCTGTGACCTCTACCCCGACACCACAAGAAGTAACAGCCACAATGGGGCAGGTTACCAGGAGGGAAACCATCGAGGGTAGAGCGCCGGAAAGGGCTCTATTGGAAAATAGAGCCCGCTCTACACATAGAGCGCACTCTACCTCAAGAAAAGAAGTGAAATCTAACGTCCCGAGGCCAGTACCAAGAACGAGAATAATGAGTCAAGCACCATTAGCCAACTTCGAGACAGCTAATGCCATCCAAAGACAGGTCCATCCAAAGACAGGTAGGCATAGCTATCGAGGTCGGCACCCAAGTCCTGGCCGACATAAGGGCCGGGACTGCCTAACCTGCAACCTGTAACCTGCGTCTCCTCAATTGGAACCCGGACGGGATACAGCAGAGGATCCATGAACTCCCGTACAGTCGCTCAACAACAAGACATCCAAGTGATCTTGCTGGGAGAGACGAAACAGACCAACAACGCATCTGTAGCTGCCAAATTTCCACATCTACAGGCGGGACGAGGTCAATCCTCAAGGGACCGCCTATAGAGGCACGGCGGTTCTAGTGAGGAGAGACATCGTCCACCAAGAGCTAGACCTGCCAGATTACCGATCGATGCGCTCTATCGGCATAAAAATGGAGGCGGCGGGCGAGGAACTAACTCTACGCAGCATACCGCCCGCCAGGGACTCCATTTTACTCCTCATACGTCCGGACGGTAATGGAAGGCCCTACACCCACCTTCATCGCCGGGGACCTAAACGCCAAACACCCGGCGTGGGGATCAAGATTGATCAACCCGCCGGGTCGTGCACTATATGAAGATGCGGAGGAAAACAACTATGACGTTTTAGGTCCCGAGGAACCATCCCACGTCCCTACAGACACACGCAGAAGTCCGAACGTACTGGACATCGTGCTCTCTAGGAACGTCAACTACCCGATAGTGGTAGAGGTGCTGTATGACATGGACACACACACATGGGACAAGGCCCACAGAGGCCTGGCGGAAGAGCAAGATGCATCGCTCTACAAATTGAACCGACAGTTGACCAAGAAAAGACCCGCAGTATGCCCGCTGGCCAACAACGCGGGCGAACGTCGCTACGATGCCAAGGGTAGAGCGGATATCCTAGTAGAGCAATTCGTGGAGCAATTTATGCCGAACCCAGCAAGTGCGGAGTTCATGGATCTTCATACCCGGAAGGAGAGCTGTCATCGCCCGCGCCACCGCTTGCAAGAGAGTGGTACATCTCCCCCGCTGAATTGCGGAGGACAGTGACCCACCTGCAACGCAGGAAGGCGCCGGGGCACGACGGGATCACAAACGCTGCACTTCGACAGCTGCCCAATAGGACATTAGTAGAGATCGGACGGCTCTACAATGGAATATTGCGGACATCCCACTTCCCGGAGGATTGAAAGGTAGGAAAGGTGATTGTGTTACCGAAGCCCGGGAAGGACAGGCGTAGAGCTGCCAGCTACAGGCCGATTTCGCTACTACCGCACATAGCTAAACTGCTTGAAAGAATACTGCTAAGACGCCTCCGCCCGTGCATTTCAAAATTCAAAAATGCAAAATTTCGCTCAACACAATATATGCTCGGGGAAAACTGAGCAACAAGACTAAGGCGACCCCTGCCACCCTATCCGTGAATTTCTGCAACATCAGGGGACTTCACTCGAACCTAAACGCCGTCTACTACCATCTCGAGACGGCGAAGCCGGCCTTGCTCTTTCTGACCGAGACGCAGGTGTCCTCTCCGGCTGATACTTCGTATCTCTCCTACCCGGGGTACAAATTGGAGCACTCCTTTGTGCCTCGGGCTGGAGTTTGCGTATACACGTTGCGTCAGAGAGGACATGTGTTCTCGACGCCTCGGCAGTCTTGAAGGTTCGGACCTGTCCATCCTTTGGCTACGCGTAGACAGCGACGACCATCCGCGCGTCTACGGGTGCCTCTATAGGTCCCATAGCGGTAATTCCGAAACAGACCGACTCATCGACCACGTCCAAATGGCTACAGATTCCTTGCTACAACAGGTCCCATCCGCAGAGATCGTGATCCTTGGCGATTTTAACGCCCACCACGCCGAATGGCTCGGTTCACGTTTAACCGATCATGCGGGGAGATCTGTTTATGACTTTGCCTTGCCATATGGTCTGACACAACTGGTTACATCGCCTACGCGGATTCCTGGTGTTGAGGATCATACACCTTCCCTGTTGGACCTTCTGCTGACCTCTCATCCGAACGGATATCAGGTTTCCGTCGATGCTCCTCTTGGCTCTTCGGACCATTGTCTGATCCGGAGTGTGGTGCCACTTACGCTCCCTTCGCGGTTGCGTTCTGCAGGTTGGCGTCGTGTTTGGCATTACAGGTCAGCGGATTGGGACGGAATGCGGTCTTTTTTTGCATCCTACCCATGGGGGCGGGTTTGATTCTCGCCGGATGATCCCAGCGTTGTTGCTGACTCTGTCACTGATGTGGTGATACAGGGAATGGAACTATTTATTCCATCATCTGTGGTACCCATCGGAGGTAGATCTCAGCCTTGGTTTGGTCGCTCCTGTAAGACTGCATTACGCAGTAAGCAGGAGTGTTATCAAGCCTGGGCTGCGGCTTCGGCGACTCGGGATGTAAACACCAGCATACTTAAAAAGAAGTATAAGTTCGCCTCCAGGTCCTTCAAAAG